TTGATTGGTAGAAGTAATGTTGTCTTTGGAATCAGCATGAGCATGAGTTTCTTCTTCTTCCTCATCATGGAAGTAGTTTTTGACATCATCATATAGATCTTCATCAAGAAATTCTTTGTTGAGTTGCGCCCTTTTTCGAGAAGAATCAGTGGGGCTATCGTCAGCTTGTGCCTCATCGACAAGAATCCTAAGGGTTGTGGTTTGATGTTCCTTGTGATCACTTTTTAGATTTAGGACAATATGATTTCTCAGTATGCACAACAATGTCAAGTTGGTTCACGTCAGTTGAGGATCCTTTGTTGGGATCTTTATTGGTGGAGAAAGGGTGATACAAAGCAGTGCCACTATTAGGAGGAACTTCGTACTAAATTGGAGATTCAGTAGGAACTGGTTGAGTATCCTGTCAAAAGAAGAATATGGAATAATCCGAATAGATACTAATGATTATCGGAAAAAAATTAATGTGAAGAGATCATACCTTCAGTCCGTCGATTCCAAAACTTGAATTATCACTCTCAATCCGCTCCAAGACACCATTTCCAGATGGTTGGGAACTGTTTTTCTTTTTTGGTGATAGGGACAATATTTCGACTGCAATAGTTTTTGGGGGCTAGGAAGAAGCTGCATAAGAAATATTCGCTTTCTTCTTCTTTAAATTTTTGGTTTTCAAAGGAGTGGGGAATGCATCTTCATCATCTTCAACAACCTCTGGGATTTCAACAGTTGATTTTCATTTCTGTGTAGTGAGAAGAGACATTTGACTAGCCCGTAAGAGGCAAAGGATTTAGCAGAAGTAACGTAATAAAAGAAGAAAATGAAAATCAAATTATACCTTAGTTGTTGTCTTGGGTTTTTCAAGTTCTAAGTTGGCATTCTTCTACGAAGAAATGGTTTGCTTAGGTACATCTGTCGATCCTGCCATTGAAGTAAGTTTTTCTTTCTTCACTTGTTTCTGTTAGACAGCTAAAAGAACATTACAAGATAATTCATATTAGTATCAATTGCAAACGAGAAACAATAAATTTGATCAAAGGGATCAAGAGATACTTTGGTTCCATACCTTCACATTATGGAGAAAGCATTGTGTCATGATTTAGGGTAATGTGAAGGAAGCCTTTAAAACTGTCCATTGTATGCTTAGTCGAAACCACTCATTCAATAGGTTTTTTAGACTGTTGTTTTAACTAATTAAGATAATTCCCACAGACAAACCAGTCCAGATAAGGAGTATAAAATGATAGACAGAAATGATCGTTGGGCAATTTATGGAATTTTGGTGGTTTAAGCTTGAAAGTTAAGTCATACCTTTCTTCAGGTTTGACACAAGAGGGAATTCTCAAATGAGCAAGCTTTTTGTAAATTTCTCTTTTAGAGTTTTCGGTGCGTTATATATGGTTCGACTAAGATTAGTTGGTTTATAGATGGTTTTAAAGTAATTTTGGAACACCTGGATCTCCTTGATGTGTGTCTACGTACCTCTCTTGACTAGATCTTGCACAAAGGAAAAAGATTTTGTCAGGTGCTGATAAAAGAGGGTTGCGTTAAACATATTTCTAGAATAATAATTTTCCACCAAGAATCAAAGTCTTTTGTGCAATAGAAAGATAGATAGAAAGGGATTAGAGTAAACTTAGGAAAGTTGGCATAACGAGCCACACGTTGATCTCAATTAGAAAGAGAAAAATCCATTCCCTAAACACATAGAGCATTATTCCTTTCGAATAGCGGTTCAGGAATAATTTGGCAAAGTCTAAATTGTCGGAAGAAAAAGTTGGGTTGGTAAGAAAGTAAACTGATGTGACTTTTTATGGGCAATAATCTTGTGACGATCAGCCTTGGAAGCAAAAAGGATTTCTAGATGTCTAAGGTTTATGCCTCTTGAGTTAGCGAAATGTCAGAGAGAGATCTCGTAAACCATTCAGGACCATGAGTTCTCTTAGCAAAGGGAGCCATCGAAGGAGTAAAGTTATAAAATTTAATGAACATCATAACATAATTTATAAAGCACGCCTCTAAGTCCTTCCCATCATTATTTTGGGTCAATCGAACTAATCTGGTTCCCTCAATAGTTCGACTATAAATCTCAGGGTCCATTTCATCTACTTTTTTCAGAGTTGGAGAGAGAGGGTTCGAACATGGCACTAAGCCACAATTGGAGAAGCCAATATGGGATAGAAAATAGTAAATTGGTTCCTACTTTATACTTCTTTAAGGTTGTAGTAGCTTCCCCAAGACATTCATATAGTCCAGCTAATATTAGTTCACTAAGGCATATGTTCCGACAAGAGTGAAGTTGATTAGCTAAAGTAAGAAATTTATTAGCTACTTGTAGAGATTTACTGTAGAAGATACACTTAGATAGCCATAAGGAAAGAAAAGCTATATGTTCGACATATGACACTTCATCTCCTTCAGTGTGGTAATGGTCGATGTATTTGGTGAAGTCAACATGTTCAACTTTGAAATTAATGGTGTTTGTCGCTTGCTCAGTAGGGTCGACGGTTTCTCCAATGGGTTGAAGTCCAGTTATAGCAGAAACATCAAACAAAGTGGGAGTAACCATTCCACAAGGAAGATGGAAGGTATTACAGGTACCATCCCAAAAATATAAAGATGCCATCAACATGTGTTGGCAATAGCTTGGCCCAACTTTTGACAGTTGGATTAAGTCGAAAACACCCATGTCTTTCCAGACTTGGGATTTCTTTTGTTCGACTTTAGATAGCCAGTCGAGATATTATTTACTATCTTTTGATAGGCATGACCTAAAAGGCCTAAAGGAATCAGTCATATAATTCAGATGAAAAAGTTTTTTTTTTGCATTTTCAGAACCTGAAGGGGATTCTTCTTGAACAGTTTATACAATGGATTCCTTGGGGTTTGTGTCATTATTTTCATCTACATTCTTTTTGGAACTAATCTTACTCGCTATGGGTTTGGTTCCATGATATGTGGGAAAAAATTCTCTAAATTTTTTTAGATCATTCGCATGAACTATATGGCCCATATATCCTTGGGTTTTATCATCAAGAGTGAAAGGAATTATTACCTGAGATGCGTAGATAGCTTGTTGTTCAACATAAAGTGTTGGTGATGGAACAAACTCTTGATTTCCAGAAAAGATGGGTTTGGTGATTTGTTAAATAGGAGTGAAGGCAGCATCCTTAGTGTTCTTTGCGTCTTTTCCAGATTTGTTACTCTTCTTTGTGGGCGCCATTGATAAAAAAGCTTGAAGGTGAATGTTGAATTTTGGAGGAAGAAGATGAAAGAAGTTCGCGGTTTTTTCTGAAGATATAAAAGAAAATGAGGGTGAAAAAGGTGTTTTTAATGATGAAATAAGTATTTATAGTGAGCAAACGATTCAGTTTCGTTATTCAAATAAAAGAGATAGTGGAACACTTGTTGGTGTTTAATAAGCTGACCAGATGGTTTTTTTTTGGGAAAACCACGTTTTGAACCTACTTTAGTGTAGCAATGATGAGAACCGAATTACACACATCTCGATGAGACGTTTGGAAAGATGGTCATTATGACCATGACGTCACAGCAGTAATAGTCATCGTGAAGTAAAAAATGTATATTTCTCAAAGTGTTTCGAAATACACATTTTTGGGGGGCAATTTGTTAGCTGGGAATTTCAACGACATATGACATTAAAGAAAATAAAGAAATCGAAAGAAGTGTAGCTTTGGAAGAGAATATGAAAATGTGTCATATAGTCTTCGACTGACCAAACTATAGATAATTTAGTTACATTTAAATGGTTCACGAAAGTTCTCATGTTGAGCTATATATGGGACTTATGGGAATGTGAAGATACAAATTTGAAATATTTTGACACATCATGTTGTTGTTTTGGCGCTTCGAATTAAACAAGGATTTGAATTCAAATGGTTTGATCTTATCCGGAAGGACGCGTGGAGGTCTGATGATTTGAAGGAGCATGCAAGACTCGAACGTGACACTTTTGTAGAGAAAGACCGACCGTTAGGGTCGAATTAATATAAATAGGGATCTTTGTATTAGGATTCAAGGTGTTCACTTTGTACAAATTACTCATATAAACTCGAAGTATCAGTGTTCGAGAAAAGAGTCATTGAGAATGTACGTATGGAAACACCATTTTTTATATTCAAAGTCTCTTACATTAAATCAAATCTTTTACTTTCGTTTAACATTTCAGTCAAATCCTTTACTTTTTCAGTTTTACTTTAAAACCTTTTTACAATTGTCTTCCAGACTTTGTCTTTATTTTTACTATTGTTATATTTATCTTTTCGATATAGAACAAATATTCGAATACATTAAAACAAAAATAAAATTTGATACATATTCTAAGATCAATCTAGTCGATCCTACGAATAACCAAAAATTAAAAAATTGACAGTTATTTACTAAATTTTACGATAAATAATTACATAATCAATAAAAAATGGACATGTGCGGAAAATATATACTTCAAAAAGAAAAAAAAATCAAGATAATGATCATAGTAAAATCTTGAAGTTGTAGATGGAATAAAATATGTGACACAAGTCTAATAGATAAGAAAATACAATAGAAAACGTGTGAAACTCTAAAAGAGAATTAATGAAAAATAAAAAAATAATTAATTTCTTCAGATACCATATTAATTTCTGTCCAATATAATTGTTAAAATTGAAAACATTATCATAAAAAGAGATAATGCATAAAACTAATAACCAAAAAGAGAAAAAATAATATCACCGACCTTGTATACACACACATATGGTTATAACTAAAATCTAAAAATATAGGAAATTAATTATAACAACTTAATAACTATCAACAATTATTTTATAGTATTTTAAATTTTAAATTGGAATAAAAGTAAAAAGAAAAAATGCATGCAAAAATAAAATCTTAGTCAGCACTCAGCACACAACACTAACCAGACACAAACATTTCAAAATTCCAAATAAATCTCTGTTTTTTCCTATGTCTCTTTCACTTTTCTCTTTTTGCTTTGAATATTTCCTATGTCTATGAACCTTTCTTTGTTCATGGCTTCCTCCGCCGATCATTCCCTTACTCAAGAGACACAGAAACATCGAAATTCAAACACCGCCTTTGCTCTTCGCCGAAGAAGTACTCATACGAAATATTATGGTTATAGCTCACCTGTGAATTTCAGACAAGGTTTCGTGAAAAATGAGGTTTCTGCCAGGAAGCTCGCAGCTGGTTTGTGGCAGTTGCGGTTTGTTGAGGTCTCTGGTGAGTGCGGCGAAGATGTTATCCGTGATGGGTCATTTCGATCTTCAAAATTTAAGGTATGTATGTGTTTATGTCAATGTGATACTTTTGTTTTTGTCTCTCATTCCAACAATTGTTGTAAATTGAGGTTAATGTTACAAACTCTGTAACTCTGACACGAATACCAGACACGATACTAACATCGATCATTTCAGTAGTCATTAATAAATAACTAATTAGATGTGTTGACATGTTGTCCTAAGCTTGAAGCCTATAAGCCATTGATCAAATCTTCAAAAGAAAAAGAAACAGAATGGAGCCATTTACTCAATAAAGGGTCCAATGAGTCTACAATAGCTCATTGGAGGAAGCTTCTAGACGAGAGAAAATTAGTTGATGATCAACATGACTCGATTGTCACCGTTCTTCTCGAAGAACTCCTTCGATCACAAAGGATGGTTAGAAAATTTAAAGCCGAAAAGAATTCCTCTAAGAAAAAAGCTAGAGAGGAAAATGTGTTATGGAAATGCAAAGAACAGAAGAAGATTGAAAAAAAGTTAGATGAGTTAGAGGATAGGTTGATGAAGGAGAGAAGAAGTAGAGAGAAGATGGAGATTTTGAATACCAAATTGTTGAAGGAATTGGACAAGGCGAACGAATGCATTGATCGGTTTAGGAAAAACTACGAAAAGGAAAAGAGAAAAAGAGAATTAACCGAAAAAGTGTGTGGTGAATTGAACAATCAAATAGAAGAAGACAAAGGTGAGATTGAGAAGCTAATGAGGGAAGCAATGAAACTTTACAAGGAAGTTGAAGAAGAGAGGGAGATGGTGAAAATGGTCGAGCTATGGCGCGAAGAACGCGTGCAAATGAAGCTAGATGACGCGAAGAATCTTATCGAAGAGAAATATAATCAAATGGTGGAGTTGATTGCTTATCTACGAAGGTTTCTAAGATCAAAAGGCGACCAAGTTAGCAACGATGAAATAGAGGATGCTCGGTTGATTGAACAGGTGGTTGAATCGGTTAACATTCGACAAATTCTAGAACTTTCTTATAATTTCTCTAAATCAGATGATGTATTTCCAATCTATGAGGAATGTAGTGAAGAAACTGGCAAGTTATATCCTTCTCCTGCCTCTAATCAACTAAGATTGATTCGCAACGACGAAAAAGCAATTTCTGTCACAAAATATTCTCAACATGGAATGGATTGTCATGGTTGGTACAAACAAAAGGAGTGCAACATGATTGGTGAAGATTCTATTGAAGGTAGCTTCAAACACTTTGAATTATTGGGACAAGGAAACTCAAGAGATAGCAATAACCCTCACATAACTCGTGGGATGAAAGGATGCATAGAATGGCCAAAAGGTATTAAAACTAATTCCAAAGTTATTATTCCTTTGGAAGAAAGAGTGAAAAGCCAGAAATCTCAGTTGCAACACATTCTTAAGCCAAAGGCTTTTTAAATCACCATTGATCGAAAACTGTTTCAGTTAAGATTCAAATTCAAATTCTTTTGAATGATTTGTTCTTTGATAAAGGTCTTAGAAGCATAATGGAGACAACTCCACACATTTTGTTTTTTCTTTGTTGGATAAGTTTTGGTTACATTGTGTGTAAAAGCAATGTAGTTTTGTTCATATTTTAAAAAAGTTGAGTACAATTTTTTTGGATGTACATTGCATATTTGATTTTCTCAAGAGATTGTTTTTCACTCAAAATATAACTAAATTATGAACTAATCATGGTAGTTGCTTGAAAGCAAGAGGTTCTTTCTAATAGCACCGCCATTCACTAAGGGGATGCCAAAGGACAGATGCTTTTACTTTCTTTGTTTTTTTAGTTAACTTCTTGTTGACAATTAATAAGAATTGTCCACATATATAAACACAAAATAATTATAACAGATGAGGAACTTAATAAAATATCTTTGAACGAATTCTAAAAGTAATCTCAGAAAATCACTAATGATAAAATACATTGTTTGTCCTAGATCAATTTGTCTATGTTTTTCTTCCAAGTATCTTTAGTCTTTTATAGTCCTCGTTATCTTGACTCAATGACCTTGTTTGAACACGTGCTACTTATGTCACTCATTCACATAGAAACGGGGAGTTTAGTACGTGCAACTTACGTTACTCGTTCATAGAGAAGCATCAAGATGAGCACATGCAACTTATGTCACTCGCTCGTTCAAGATGCACGACATGCCGTAGGAAACCCTTAGGAGGACCACAATTTTGAGTAAGTGTTTGGTGTAGTTCATCATCGAGTTGAAGCTAAAAAATAACATGAATGGTCAAGTTGAACTAAACACGTCAAATAATTGAAGTGAATTAGACCTGTTCTGCTTGGTCAAAGCATAAAAAAATTGGTATGACATGGTCATCCATGTCATTCCAAATTCCATCAAGCGTTTAGTTTCAAAAGGCATATATGTATGTTTCTCATCAAATCAACGTATGTATTTTAGTCCACATATGTAAACACAAAATAATTATAACAGATGAGCAACTTAATAAAATATCTTTGAACGAATTCTAAAAGTAATCTCAGAAAATCACTAATGATAAAATACATTGTTTGTCCTAGATCAATTTGTCTATGTTTTTCTTCCAAGTATCTTTAGTCTTTTATAGTCCTCGTTATCTTGACTCAATGACCTTGTTTGAACACGTGCTACTTATGTCACTCATTCACATAGAAACAAGGAGTTTAGTACGTGCAACTTACGTTACTCGTTCATAGAGAAGCATCAAGATGAGCACGTGAAACTTATGTCACTCGCTCGTTCAAGATGCACGACATGCCGTAGGAAACCCTTAGGAGGACCACAATTTTGAGTAAGTGTTTGGTGTAGTTCATCATCGAGTTGAAGCTCAAAAATAACATGAATGGTCAAGTTGAACTAAACACGTCAAATAATTGAAGTGAATTAGACCTGTTCTGCTTGGTCAAAGTATAACAAAATTGGTATGACATGGTCATCCATGTCATTCCAAATTCCATCAAGCGTTTAGTTTTAAAAGGCGTATATGTCTGTTTCTCATAAAATCAACGTATGTATTTTAGTCCACAGTCCACAAAGCGTCGAGTCTAATAAGGCACAAACATTTTCTTCTCATCAAATTAACTCATACATATCAATCAATACTCCACCAGTGTCGAGTCAAATAAGGTGTAGACACTTGCTTCTCTTAATATCGATCCATGCAAGTGTTTACTATGAAATTTGATAAACAACCGCTGGTCTTCCAAATCGAAGAAAAGATTAGTGACTTGCAAAATCGACCAAATTGATCATAAGTATATGTGTTCTTATTCAAACTTATATTCTTGAAAACAAAGATTATTTTCGACAACAATCTTAATCTTTTAAACAAAAACTGATTTCAATTGTATACTTCAAATACAGTAATGTAATGCTTTAAAGAAAAATTGATATATAAAAGGCTTTTGATTTAAACTTAAAAGGAATATATAAAATTTCAATTAAAGTTGAATAGAAATAAACGTAAAATTGGTGTATCATACATACATTCTCACAACTCGTTTCTCGAACGATTGTACTTTGAGTAATTTAGAGTAATTTGTACAAAAATTTGAACACACAGAATCTTAACGCTAAGATCCTTATTTATATTAATTCGACCAAAACGTTCTCTTTATAAGATGTTCCCACATTCGATATATGCATGAACCTTCGAACCTTGTGCTTCCACGCGTCTTTTTGGATAAGATCAAACTTTGAAATTTAAAAAACTCTTTTGCCTTGGAAGTGCCAAACAACACAAATGTGACGATCGAAATATCATTTCTGATGATACTTCGATTAACTTAAGTTTCAATGGTTTGCAAACAAACATTTTGCCAACACTTAGCAAACTGAAGCTCTTATTGGTTTTTCACCTATTGAAATCTTCATAAAATCTCTTTCATGCTACCTTTCGAACTACATTTCTTCAAAATGTATCATTTTCAACTTAAAACTCATGCAATCGAAATTCCCAGTCAACAGATTTCCCCTAATAAATGTGTGTTTCCACATACTTGGAGAAACATAGATTTTTTGCAAAACAATCATATATCGACCGACAAACAATCTTCATGATAAACATTAATTGCTATGACGTTAGAAACAATTATTGTAACACGATGGGAGAACTGACTTATTTTGCGTTTTATCGCAAATGTTGTGGATAGCAAGAGTCGCCACCAACTTTTCTTTTATCCAATAAGGAAAGGGTGAAAAGAACAGGAAAGACCTTGAAGATTTTGAGTTTGGGGGTAGGTTATGAAAAGGGAAGGTGTTAGCACCCTTTTCATCTACAGTTATCTACGGTCGCTTAATCGCTTAGCTCACTTTGAAAATTTGCTTTTTGTGTGTGTGTTTGAAAATATTTTGAAATTTGCCAATGTAAGGCAAAAATTTGTAATGATTCTTGTATCGGTCCTCAAGAATGCGTACAAAGTGTTTTTGAAAATATTTTAAAAGTGTTTGTGAAATGTTTTGTTTATGTGAGCAAGCGATTAAAAGTATCTAATCACTCAAGGTCATTCTTGTACTTTTCCTTCTCCTTTAGATAGTGATATCCGTACCATTAGTTAGTAGGAAGCCCTATCGTTGGATGTGAAGGGACAGGCGTATGGTCCTCGTACAGTCATCGAAGGCAACTGGTAAGGATGCTTTAGTAATTTTCGTAAGGGACTAGATCATTTAATGAAAGACAACGTCGAAAGGGTCATCGAGGGACTATGATCTTTGATTCGAGGGACTTTGCTAAAGCGTCCCCACTTTCGAGGGACATGACTGTTTATTTTCCGAGGGCAACAAGGGAGGTTACCCTAGAGGTGTGAGTGGGCAAGTATGTTATATTCAGTTATTTATCTTTGCAGTTAGGGTTTTCTATCGTTCATTTTTAGTCTTGTCATACAAACCCTAATTACTAAGCAGTAATATAGAATATAAAAAAGACAATAAAGATGCGGAAAGTAAAAGTAGGAAAGATAAACCTAAACCTATTACACGGCTTTGGGGCAGTTACATAATAGAAAGAGGAAATTAAAACCCTAAGCTATTACAACCCGAAAAACAGTTGCATAATAATGAAAAAGGAAAGCAAAAAATCTAAGCTATTACAAATTGCGAACCCCCATACACTTTTTCTATGAAAATAAAATAAAATTAAAATAGAGGAAAAATAAATACTTTTGATGATTTTTTATGGAAAAAGTTTTTTAATGATGATTAAAATAAACCTAAAAACTAATTAATTTTAATTAACAAAAATATTTGATTAATTTAATTAATAAAAAAGGTTAATGATGAAAAACCTAAAAATTAATTAATTTTATTTAAGAAAAAAAGTTAATTAAAAAAAGTTAATTAAAAGAAACTAAAACCTAATTAGAGTTTGTGAAAAGGTTTTGTGGTTAAGTGAATTTAGGGTTGAAAAGAAATTAAGGAAAAATAAGTTAGAAACAAAATAAAGTAAAATTACCAGGGGTGGGTGTACATCTGGTAATATAAGTGAAATAAAATAATTATGTAATAAAACAAAATTACATGGCCGGAGAAGCGCCGGAGCCCTAGCTCCGGTCGTCTTCTCTGGTAAGCTCGTTTTCTCCAACCTGCAAAACAACAATTGTTAGTGATTTCCAGGGACCCTACCCCCCCTAATTCAGGCCTTGCAGTTTCAGTGGAAGTATTGTTTTTGGCCAAATCGCGTTGGTTTGTGAGATATGGAAAAAATAATATGAATCGAACGACAGTTCACGATTCAGCCATTATGGGGATCATGCAATGGTCTCGTCCTGCACATGGATATCTCAGAAACATATTTGTGGTGTTATTTTCAATTAAAGTATGAAGAAAATAAAAAATACAAATTCACAAATTAATGGTAATCGGAGATGCATGGGATGTCAGTTTCGTGTGCTTTGGATCATCACAAATGATCTATTCTTAACCTATACCACCTTAGAGATCGATTGGAAGGGTTGATAGGCTTGGAAAGTGGCTGCGAAATAGGGTTTCACTTTGCCCTAGTTTTTGATATTTTTGGAGTTTTGGAAGAGGTTTCTTGCTGCAAGGGTTTGTGCCCTTCTTTGTCTGAAATAGTAGGAATATATAGTGAGGAAATTAGGTCAAACATGTTGCACTTGGACCTTTGTAAGAAGGTTTGACTTTATCTTATTCTATTTTGACTTTAAATAAATAAAAATAAAAAAATAAATATAATAAAAACCCAAGGGGTGTATGAAGTGATTTAGAGATTCATAATGAGGCCTATAACACGAATGGATCTTGAAATATCACCCTATTAGCCCAAAAATTCAAGTTTGGTCACTTTTGGTTTCATGCATTTGCTCAAAATTTCCCAACTTGCACCAATCATAACTCTCTCAATTTTTATCATATGAAGGTGATCTTAGACATTTTAGAAACCCCAAGATGTCCTCTACA